CGCACCCCTTTTTTTATACAGAATAGATTTAACTCTGGATTGCCTAAGTAGATAAGATTATAAATCTATTAAAATATAAAATTATTGTACCATTTAGTTTTTCATTTGTCTTAGTACCATTATTTCCTAATCCTATTAGTATTAGTATTTCTAAGTTTAATACTATATAGGAAATGGTATTTGAGTAGCATCATAACATCTCTATAATTTCACTTTTTGAGGTATAATTCAATTAATTAATAAAATACTTTGAGAGTTCCTCAATTTTTTTATTATATGATGCAACAAAACCTTACATATATTACTTAAGACTTATTACATTAACAACTGACGTACATGATCTTATTTCCAAATCCTACGTAAGCAAATTAATCTTAATCTTTCCTACACTTTTTCTTTAGGAAATTTTAAAGCGAGTAGGATTAAGAAGTTGATAATCAAGTTGCATTCTTGGGCCTAGCTAAATTCTATTAATATTCAATACTTCATTTTTAAGCTTAACATTGCATGACGAAAAAGTGAAGTTGCCACCCTCCAAGTTACCCATTGTGAATAATCCAACAAGTCATCAATTCCTAAAGTTAGAGATTGCTAAAGTTCACATGTAGGTACCAATGGTGTAGAAACAACATAGTAATAGATTATCTCAACTCATTCTAACAAATACAAGTAAATTAGACATCACTAGCACACAAAAAAAAAATAGACGGGTTGCTTGCATGATGGCACAAAACAAATAGAGCTCAAAAATGGCATGTCGAAGAATTATTACCTCTGTCCAAAACAATGCAGTCATTGTAATATATGTCATAACGGCTCAGCCAACCACCAGTTCCATGTCCTCCAAATAACAACAGCTGCAATTGAGAAGTCATAAGGTATGAAATATAGTGAGAAATTACATGAAAGATAAAAATAAGAAATGATGATGATGATTGATGATAAAGATGATAACATTATCTTTTCATTTGAAAAAAAAAAACCTTGTGAAGATTAAAATAGAGAGTAAAAAGAGTTAGGATAAAATATCTTCCTACCAAATAAAGAAAACAAAGTAGAAAACAAGTAAAATGGGACAGAGATCAACTATAGAATAGCCTCACAATTCCTTTGAATAATACTCAAAGGCAAACTCCAGAAAAAATCATGCACCTTACGCCATAAAGAAGTAATGCAGATAATCCTAATCCCAAGTATATTTATAACTAAACTTTTTATTGTTACGGTCATGGATGTTCTCATTTTTCCACGTTGTGGCTTTTAGATGATACTTTTCCTTCTTGAGACTTACTTTGGTATCTTTTCTTCTGTTTTCATTTTTCAACATTTTGACTTTTAAAGGATATTTTTCCTTCTTGAGACTTACATTATGTATCTTTTCTTCTTAAGATATTTCTTTGAAGATCCCACAGAGTAATAATAAAATGGCAGAAACTTCATATGGTATATGTATTAATGTGGTATAAAAATCAAGATCCATCCCCTAGAAATACCATTGAGGTATGAGTTTTGAGAAGAGTACTCGCCACTTGCCACCCTTGTTCCATTCCACCAGCTTGAGATATCTTCCATGCCTGTTCTTTCCTAGAGAGAAAATCAAAGCTCTGCCTTTTTCTCTCAAATTCCTCTAAGAGTTGTAGCCCTTCACCCAAAGAAAAAACAGCCTTAAAGAAACATTTAGTCTCCTCATCAAAGAAGCAGACAAAGAAACAACTCCTAAAGTCATTCTCAATGATTCTCAAAATATCATAAACCTTCCCTTTTAAGACAATATCAAAGAATTTCCTCTCCACCGCCAGGAATTTCCTTGGAGTGGAAAAGAGCACAGCTGTTTAGGGTCTTAAGACAAGCCAAAACATGGATAAGAAGAGAAGAGAGTTAGAAAGAGAGAGAAATGCAGGCCATGGCTTCATTCATGGAGATAGAGAGAAGGAGAGAAGAGAAGTTGGAACGAGACAGAAATGTGACAAGAAGAACGAATAGGCAGGGAGAGTCAGGTTCTATGGAGCTAAAGAGATTGCAGTCCAGTATTAATTACGGTAGTATGAGGAGAGGGGGAAAGAAAGGGGGGGAAGTTGAAATAAACATTTAATCCATGTTTGGGCAAAAAATTTCGTGGAATGTTAAGGGAATTAATGATCATAAGAAGAGGCAAGTAATTAGGGGAAGTATGAGCAGATGGAAACTAGATATCATCTGCTTGTAGGAGACAAAAATGGAGAATATGCAAAAGAGGGTCATTAGAAGCTTGCAGAAAAATATATAGGTGGTTTGGAAGGAGTTACCGGCTTCAGGCTCAGTGGGTGGCATCCTGGTTATGTGAGGAGGAAAGCTTCCGGTCTGTGGAGTACATAAGGTTGAGTGTTCTGTTTTTTGCCTTTTCAAAGATCGGAGATGTGGGGGCATATGGGTGTTCAGAGGGATCTATAACAAAAGGGAAGGGAGTGATAGAGCAGTGTTCTCGAATGATTTGGAGAAATGCAAACATAAGTGGAATATGTCTAGGGTAGTGGGAGAGGACTTCAACATGGGGTTAAGCATACAAGAAAGAACAGAGAATTCCTTCTCAAGGATTTGTGCAGAAGAATTCAAGGAGACTATTGAGAGATTGGACCTTGTTGATCTTCCACTTACTGGCGGAAAATAGACTTGGTCAAATCAAAGGATACACCCTACATGTTCTCGAATTGATCAGTTCCTGGTGTCTGTCACATGTCATCTTCAAGTTGCAGGTATATGCCAGAAGAGGTTGCAGATGATCATTTTTTATCACTTTCCCATTTGTCTTGATTTGGATGGGATCATGTGGGGTCCTTGCCCATTTAGATTTGAAGATAAATAGTTAACAGTGGATGATTTTTGTGCAAAGGTTGAAGAATGGTGGAGAGGCAATGAGGTTAATGACAAGGCTAGCTTTATAATAGTGCATAAACTCAAGGCAATAAAGACAGCAATAAAGCAATGGAGTAGAGAGGGAAGAGCATCGGCACACAAGTACTTTTTTGAGAACTAGAGGCCATCAACAGGTTAGAAGCTAAGGAGGCAGTAACTATAGAAGATAATAGAGAAGAAGGAAAATCTTAAGGATGAACTGGCGACTAAGTTGCATAGGAAGAAGGTTGACTAGAGACAAAAATCGAGATCAAGATGAATTAAAGAGGGGGATCGCAATACATAGTATTTCCATTGTATGGCCAGTCACAATAGAAGATGTAACTATGTGGAGTTGATGAAGATTGAGGACAAAAAAGTAAAAGGAAATCATAATCGGAGACAAGGGGTGACGGAATATTTCAGTAACCTATATCGTGAAGATTTTGAGTTGAGGCCTAAATCAGCTGATGTTAGCTTTGACAGTCTAGATGAGGCGAGTAGGGTGTCACCTGAAAGAGAATTCTCCGAAGAGGAAATTTTGAAGGTCTCATGCAGTGCAGGAAGGATAAAACTCCGGGACAAGATGGTTTCAACATGGATTTTGTTCACAAGTTCTGGTATTTAGTCAAAGATGATATTATGAAATTATTCAAGGATTTTCATGAGGCGAATACATTTATGAAATCACTCGATTCCACTTTCTTGGTTTTAATAGCAAAGGTGGAGGGAGCAGTTAACATTAAGGAATTTCGGCCGATTAGTCTAGTGGGCAGTATTTACAAGTTTATTGCGAAATACTACTCATGAGACTTGTAAAGGTAATGAGCAAAGTGGTCGGGAAGAGCCATGCGTTTATGGAAGGCGGGCAGATTATGGATGCGGTATTGGTAGCCAAAGAGGTGGTGGATGAGCAATTGTATAGAAAGAGAGATAGGGTAGGGTGTTACATAAGCTAGACATGGAAAAGGTGTACAATCATGTCAATTAGGGTTTTGTCAATTACATATTGGCAATAACAGATTTCCGTGGAAATTGGTGGAGGTGGATTAATGCTTGCATCACCACTACGTCTTTTGCGATCATGGTAAATGGTAGTCCATCAATTTTTTTCAAAGCTTCAAGAGGATTAAGGCAAGGTGATCCGTTGTCCTCCTCATTGTTCATTATTGTAATGGAAGCGCTCAACAAATTGTTGGAGAGAACAAGATAGCAAGGTTTGTTCAGTGGGATCAAGGTGGGCGAAGGAGAGACGGCGAAGGAAATATCGCATTTATTTTTTGTTGACGCCACATTTTTATTTTGTCAACCGGAAGAAAGAGCGCTACTAAATCTTTGGTGTGTATTGTTATGTTTTCAAGCTTGTAGACTGACGATGAAGGTCAGTTACCAACTTCACACTACTAAGGCTTATCTCATGTTTAAAATAGCGAATGGTCGAGGGATTTGGGTTCACCTCC